CATTCTTTCTCTGGCAGCTCTTAGCCAAACTACTTTAACCAAAGAATTCTCTTTTCTCATCAACGTCTTTATTTCACGATCCGCGATCCGTACAGGCATCGTCTCCACCGTAAGGTTATCCCGTACTTGCACATCATCCATATGAATCACATGAGATGGATCTGAAATATACTTTCGGAGTTGCGACACATGAAACACATCATGCAAATTTGAAAGATTAGGCGGTAAAGCCACTCTATAAGCAATGTTCCCAACCCTCTCCGAAACCTGATATGGTCCAATAAAACGAGAAGTGAGCTTCTTAGACTTCAATGCTCGCCCAACACCAGTCACATGTGTGACTCTCAAAAACACATGGTCACCCGCTTGAAATTCTAAATCTTTCCTTCACTTGTCATGATAACTCTTCTGTCTACTTTGGGAAGCTTTCATCTTTTCTCGAATAAACTTTACCTTCTCAGTAGTATCACAAACAAGTTCAGGTCCAAGTACTACACTTTCACCAGATTCATGCCAACATGAAGGAGTTCTACATCTTCGACCATACAACGCTTCAAAAGGTGCCATCCAAATACTAGAATGGTAATTGTTATTATAAGTGAACTCTATCAACAGAAGATAAGTATCCCACGAAACTCCCTGCTCAAGAACACATGCCCTCAACAAATCTTCCAACGATTGAATGGTCCTTTCAGTCTGACCATCTGTCTGAGGATGGTATGCCGGAATCAACCTCAACTTAGAACCCAACGCTTCTTTCAAAATCTTCCAAAATCAGAAGTAAACCTCGAATCTCTATCTGAAACAATGCACAAAGGAACACCGTGCAGCTTCGTAATCACACTAGTGTAAATCTCATCCAACTTCGACACTGAAAAACTGATGTTAATAGGAATAAAATGAGCCGACTTCGTAAGCCTATGAACAATCACCCAAATTGAATCATGTCCTCTTAAATTATTAGGTAACCCCATCACAAAGTCCATCGAAATGTTATCCCATTTCCATTCTGGAACTTCTAACAGTTGCATCAATCCTGCAGGCTTCTGATGTTCAACTTTTGACTTCTAACAAGTCAAACATGCATACACAAACCGAGCCACATCACTCTTCATCCCAGGCCACCAAAACAAACCTTTCAAATCTTAATACATCTTTGTATCTTCTGGATGAATACTCAACTTACTTCTATGACTCTCTTCAAGTATCACTTTCTTTATCTCAGCATCATCAGAAATATAAATCCGGTTACGAAATCTCAACACATCTTGCGCATCTAGCTTAAAATCATTATTCTCGGACTGATCGATCCCAACCATCGAATCTACCAGTTTTACATCCAACTTCTGAGCTTCTCTGATACTATCTAGAAATTCATTATTAATCGTCAACATACCTAACATAACACTTCACAGCATAACCTCGCAAACTAAGCTCATATCTCTGAACGGTTCAATTAATTCTAACTCTTTAACCATCATTGCCGACATATGTAAAGTCTTTTGACTCAACGCATCGACTACCACATTCGCTTTTCCTGGATGATAATTCAAACGAAATCATAATCCTTTAACAATTCCAACCATCTCCGTTGCCTCATATTCATCTCCTTCTGATCGAATAAATACTTTAAGCTCTTATGGTCACTAAACACTTCAAATATAGAACCCTAAAGATAATGCCTCCAAATCTTCAACACAAAAACAACTGCAGCAAGCTCTAAATCATGCGTAGGATAGTTCTTCTCATGAGTCCTCAACTGCCTTGACGCATAAGAAACTACCTTATCATTCTGCATAAGCACACCTCCTAAACCCATCTTAGAAGCATCACAATATACCACAAAAGGCTCTCCTGGATTAGGTAACGTCAAAATCGGAGCTGATGTCAATCTCTTCTTCAATTCTGTAAAACTTTCTTCGCACTGAACATCTCACACAAAAGCTCTACCTTTACAAGTCAACTTAGTCAACGAAAGTGAGAACTTAGAAAAACCTTCGATAAACCTTCTATAGTAACCAGCTAATCCCAAAAAGCTTCTAATCTCAGTAGCTAACTTCGGAGTTTCCCATTGCAACACAACATCAACCTTCGATGGATCCACAATAATGCCACTACCTGAGATCACATGACCAAGAAAACTAACCTCTTTTAATCAGAACTCACACTTGGACAGCTTTGCATACAACTTCTTCTCTTTCAAAACTTTCAATACTACTCTTAAGTGTTATGCATGCTCTTCTTCTGACTTAGAATAAATCAAAATATCATCAATAAACACCACCACGAACCGATCCAAATAAGTATGAAAGATACGATTCATGTATTCCATGAATACTCTCGGCACGTTGGTAACAACGAAAGGCATCACCGAATACTCATAATGTCCATAACATGTTCTGAAAGCCGTCTTCTAGATATCTTCATCCTTCACTTTAATCTGATGGTAACCCGACCTCAAATCAATCTTACTGAACACACGAGCATCCACCAATTGATCCATTAAGTCATCTATTCTTGGAAGCGGATACTTGTTCTTAATTGTCACTTTATTCAGCTCTCTATAATCAACACAAAGACTCATACTTCCATCTTTCTTCTTTACTAACAACACTGGAGCTCCCCACGGCGATACACTTGGTCTTACAAACTTCTTTTCAAGTAACTCTTCCAATTGCTTCTTTAACTCTGACAATTCAGATGTAGACATCCTGTATGGTGCCATAGACACAGGTCTGGTACCAGGTACAAGATCAATTGTAAATTCAACTTCCCTCTCCGATGGTACATCAGGAATCTCATCGGGGAAAACTTCAGGAAATTCACACACCACCTGCAATTCCTCAATTATAGCTTGTGCCTCTACAGATAGCGACGCCGTCAACGAGAACATTTGTGCTTCTTCTTGCATCAACTTCCTCAACTGTCTAGCAGACAACGTACTATCTTCCTCTTCTTCAGGAGTAGAAAACCTCACAGACTTGTCATAACAGTTAATATGAACATAGTTATGCTTTAAGCAGTTCATACCCAAAATCACATCCAACCCTCTTAACGGTAAACAAACCAAATCAACAGCAAAGTCTCTGTCGAAGATCGACAAGGGACACTTTAAACACACCAAAGAAGTAGTCACCAACCCCTTGGCTGGAGTACCAACGACCATTTTTCCATTCATAGAAGACAATATAAGACCCAATCTTTTAACACAATCAGCAACGATAAAGCAATGAGTAGCACCAGTATCAATAATAGTAATTAAAGGAGTAGTATTAATGAAACATGTACCTCTGATAAGTCTGTCCTCAATAGTTGTCTGATCCTCAACCAAAGCGAATACCTTACCACTTGTCTGTGCCCTCTTTGGTTTCTGACACTGACTACCAATGTGCCATTCTTCACTATAATTGAAACAAATCACATCCTTATGCTTGCACTCAGATACAACACATATGTTCTTACCACAACGAAAACACCTCTTTACTTCAGCAGTACACACATTACTCTTATGCCCAGGTCTCCCACATTTAAAACAAACCACACCAGTAGGAGCATCTCCCCCACTAGTCCCCTGACCCTGAGCAGCTTTCTGTTTACCTTTACCAGTTGGGGTATCATAAGGCTTACCACGATTATGTTGGTACTTACCCCTCTTTTCACTGATAATCTTGTAATGAGCATTATTATTCTCCTCATAAATCCTGCAACTATCAATCAAATCGGAAAAGACACAGATCTTCTGGTATCCAACTGCCTTCTTGATCTCTGGGCGCAACCCGTTCTCAAACTTAATACACTTTGAAAACTCAGCATCTGCCTCAGCGTAGTGGGGATAAAACTTAGCCAACTCAACAAACTTTGCAACATACTCAACAACCGACATATTCCCTTGCTTCAACTCAAGGAACTCAATCTCCTTCTTACCACGAACATCTTTAGGAAAGTACTTCCTCAGAAATTCCCTACGGAACACAGCCCAAGTGACATTTTCACCTGCAGCTTCTAATCTCTGACAAGTCTCTAGCCACCAGTCATCAACCTCAACTGCTATCATATGAGTACCATATCGAACCTTCTGCGCTGGAGTGCAGTCCATCACACGGAAGATTCACTGAATCTCTTTCAAGAAATCCAATACTCCGTCAGGATCATACTTTCCCTTGAAGGTAGGCAGATTCTCTCTCTTGAAATTCACCAAACTATGAGATCCAGCATTCCCGTCAACATTCAGCTGATTCTCCATCGCATAGCATCATTCCTTCCAGCCATCTCAACTTATCACTACAACATAAACAATGGTTAGAACTCAAATTAACAATACTCGATTGTTAGACAACTACGACTCGACAACTTGGTCGGACGGACCAACCTTTGCTCTGATACCAACTTCTACCCGGAAATTATAAATGTAAATCAGAGTCATAAAATTCATGCAATTGAAATCAGGATGCCACAAATTCAACTTTAAAAACACATTGCATTTGACGTGGATACATAACACTTTAAAACTTCGGATGAACCATCAACATAATAATTTAATCTCTTAATTCAACAACTTGAACAACTACACAGCGGAATCATAATAACATCTTTTTCCAACAATTACAACAACTTCAAAATAATGCATACTTAGCAAGAAACAAATTAAAGTTCAACAACTGAAATAATCAATAACTAAAATCAACAAGCGTTCATCCCCCCGAGTGTTACGTATCAGAGAAATGACACCGACTCGAACTACTGAAGGTATACTTCCTTCACTCTGGATTACCTGCACGTTACCAACGTAAGGGTAACATTCAAACAAAAGGGGTGAGATATCTAACAATAAAATAAAACGTATGTTAAATAATATATTAAATTAGATCACATAACATCACCACTTCTCATCTTATAAACAACAATAATCGCAACATAATACCAACAATAGTATATATTCACCGCATCAATACACAACTTTTTATGCAATCATATAATACAACTCAATACTATGCGAATTCATGTGGTACCATTGGAGAAAAACTCCCATCTAAAATAATTTCCAATAAATAGAGGCATCAACAAGGCATAAGCCTTCATCTTAATATTCGCCAATACAGGCCATCTTAACGAGCATCAGCTCCATCTTGAAATGCAATGTATGCGACACAATCATGAATGTAATAACAACAACCATAATTAACGACATCTCAACATAACATCATCATTGGCCAGAATCCTACATCTTAATAGCTGCCAATTATTAGAGGCATCTTAACATCGTTCATCAACATCATTCATCAACATCATTTATCAACATAATTCATCAACATAATTTACTAACATAATTCATCAACATAACATATCAACATAATTCATCAACATCATTTATCATCATTATTCATCAACATCATTTATCATCATAATTCACAACAACTCAGCCATAACAACAATACAACGGCAGATCGACAATCCTTCAACGTTGGCCATAGGCCTACAACATGATTTTGCCTATAACTAATTAATCATCTAAGGCTTACCTCTAAATTACCAAACCTCTACATATTATTAATTCTGTAATACTACATCATTCTCATCATTAATCTTACTGTCATGAACCGAACAATAATATATAATCATCTTATCCTCACCATACTTCACAAACTCATCATAGCGATTAACTCGGGAAGCTAACTCTAATCTTAAATTGAGTTTCTAGGATTATTCTTCTTATTCTTCATTTTAGTCCTTAAAAGTGAAGCTTATCGCGTCATCTATCCAACGCTTCGAACGACACCTCAAACGGAGTCCGGAAACTCAAGTCACAGCCTTTGGAAACAAATCTGTCAAAAATCAGACTACATGAGTCGATGCATTATGTCTTGAGTTGATGCGTACTTGGCTAATACGCTGCATGAGTCAACGCGTAATCCTCTTGGGTCGACTCATACTGGGTTTGCAAAACTGCATGTATCGATACATAGTCCTATGTATCGACTCATCCTGAGTCTAAAAGCCTGCATGTATCGATGCATGGCTTCTTCGTATCGACTCATCCTGAGTCCAAAAACCCGAATCTATCGACGCATGGTCTTTGAGGTCGGTGCATACTGTTCTGTCATGAATATTTTCTGCGATTTCACTGCATTTTCACTATGGTTTCCCTGCCTTAGGCCCTAAAAACATCTTCTAATCATAGGTAATCATCAATTATAATAATCCTATGTTTCTACATCAATTATACAACATTAGGGCATCATTATTCATCTCTAAATCATTGGTCTTCATCATACAATAATATATACATTCAAATCATGAACAAGACAACTTTTCACATCTAATCCCACATACTACTCATCATAAACCCTATTATAGAGTCAGAACCCCACCCTTACCTTGGATTTAAGGTTGCTCTACAACTTTTCCGATTGAATTTCATTCTGCCTCTTTTCCTTCTTTTCTGCAACTTTCACGTTCTCTTTCTCTTCTTCCAACCCTTATTTCCTTCTCTTCTTACTGCTTCTTCTTTTTCCTTATTATTTCTAAAAACTAATATAATAACCTTATAATTCTTATTATGCCTTAATGGGTTTAAAACTCCTACACCCCCTTCTACTACTTCTATTCTTAAAACAAGTCCACATCAAATAATATTATCATTCTAATATTATTCCACAACTTAATATAATAAATATATCCAATAACAACAACACATCAACTATTATCATAACACAACTTCACAAATAATCCAAAAATAATTTAATTAAATAATTAATTAAATTACGGGCGTTACACCGCCGCCGTCGTCCGTCTGGCCGGCTCGGCTCGGTTCGATCTAGATGAATTAATTTTTGGAACCCGAATTAGTGAAAATTAATTATCATTAGTTAATTAATTCGGTTAAAATTAAAAATAAGAAATTAATTAATATTAAATATTAATTAATTACGAAATGGTGACGTGTCCTGCACAGAAACCAGTCTTAACTTATTTTTTGACTGGTTATGCTTGCCCTCCAAGAGTCATACGTGTACGTGTGACTTGCTGACTAAGTGAAAAACGGCTACATTTGATTAAGCCGATTCCACTATCTCCCACGATTTTTGTTCCATTCAGTTGGATTCTTTGCTTATAAATAAAATTCTTCAGTTCATTTGTAAGCATTCCAGAATTTACAATTAAAATTCTCTTATCTCTCTCTCTCTACTCTGCTTCATCTACAAAATTTTCTTTTTTGTTTTCGACTGGCTTACTAAGAAATCAACGAATGAAAAATTCCAGATACTACGACTGATTTTATATCATCTGAAGGTGTAATTCTTCAAACTGTTTATTACAGTCACTACAATATTTGTTGTCTTTGGCAACACTTTTTTAGGTAACATGTAGAAATTGTTGCCTTAAATTCATATAGGCAACGATTTACGATTGTTGTCAAAAATAAGTTTGCAACCCTTGATAATCGTCACCTAAAATACTTTTGGGGACGTTTATGGAGCGATACTCTTTTATTTTTTTGCCAACGGTTGTTAATTGTGCCCTTAACTGCTTTTGGGGACGATTTTAGAGCGTTAAAATATTATTTCTTTAGCAATGTTTGACAACTGTCCCCTAAAATATTTTTGGGGACATTTTTAGATTGTTACATTAGTTCTAATAAAAGGCTACATTTCTGAAATGTTGTATAAATTTTTTTAGAATTATCAAATTTTTGGTGGCAATCTTCCCTCCAAAACTTATACACTAAAAAACAAATATTTTTCTCTAAACATTATTAATATATATAAAAAAAAATATTTTTCTAACACAGGAATTTTAAAATAAAAAATTTCAATTAAACAAAAAATAAAAAAATTATATATATATATATATATATATATATATATATATATATATATATATATATATATATATATATATATATATATATATATATATATATATATATATATATATATATATATATATATATATATATATATATATATATATATATATATATATATATATATATATATATATATATATATATATATATATATATATATATATATATATATATATATATATATATATTAAAAAAAAATTCATTAAACAGAAAATAAAAAATTTTCTAACACAGGAATTTAAAATATTTTTCAATCCATTCCATTCCATTCCCGTTCCATTCTTCTATCGCCGTAAGTCATCTCTATCCCATTCCATTCCTCAACTTCAATAACTGCATCACTTTTCTCACAACATTCTCACTCTCGCTGAATCCAGCTCTCATGATTCCAAAGCAAGTTCGAGAAATCAAGCTTCGCGTAACAGCGACTCCACTCGTTTATCGCTTACTCACTTCCTCGATCGCAAACTGCATAACTCTTCAACAGTCCCTCAAACCGTTCCGGTAAAATTCTGGATCCAAAATTACTCTTAGGGTTTCGGGATGATTTAATATATATGGGATATGTTGAAGTGTGTTGATTTGTTTCATTTATTTGTTGTTCGTTTCGAAAGCACGTGTTTCTTTTCTTGGATGAAATTTTCTAATTTGTTTTTGAATAGGGGAAATTGACGCCTTTTCAATCACCGGCCAGTGAGCAAGATGGAAGCGTCAAACTAACTGAAGAAGAGAGAAAGTCTGCAACTGCTGATGAGAAGTTGATTTTGGGAATGTTCAAGCAAGAGGGAAAATGTGACTTTGTTCCTCCGTTAGATCTTGATGAGTTAGGAAATTCTGTGGCAGGTGATGGTCAAGGAGCTAGGAAAAGGAAAAATCCATTTGAAGGTTTGGATTCCTATCCCAATGAACTTGAGCACGCGTTTTGGCTCTGTTATTTGTTATTCTTATGGGAAAGTTGAAACTGTTATTTAGGGAAATAATACAATTAAAGTGTCCTTGTCTTTTACTTTATCGACTAGTTAGTGATTGCAAGTGAGGTTCTTTGTTTAATTTATTGATGTCATAGAGAGATATTTGTTTCAGTCTATTTTACTTGGAATGGTCATGAAAAAAGATTTTATACTGACAACCATTTTAACTCCATTTTGGAAGATCAAGTAGGCACCATGTCTCTGATTTCATACTATATATGCCGTTCTTTGTCATATGCTTCTTTAGGAAACTTCAATGTATGCCATTATTTCAGATTTTTTGAGTTTGGTAGCAAGCAAGTATGAGTCTTGCACTGCTCTTAGGGTTTCATTGTTTGATTTTAAAGTTGGTTGGCAATCCTCTTTTCGGCCGAATATATTGATCAACTATAGATTATTCAGAGGAAGGCAAAAGAGTTGTATGTATTGGGTACAGATATATATATATATATATATATATATATATATATATATATATATATATATATATATATATATATATATATATATATATATATATATATATATATATATATATATATATATATATATATATATATATATATATATATATATATATATATATATATATATATATATATATATATATATATATATATATATATATATATATATATATATATATATATATATATATATATATATATATATATATATATATATATATATATATATATATATATATATATATATATATATATATATATATATATATTACACTTTTATTTTTATTAGAATAAAAATATAGAAATATTACACTTTTATTTTTATTATTAAATATACTTAAAAAATACTTTTTTTCTAAACATATTTTATTTTTGTATATATTATTTTATTTTATTATTGTATATAAATAATATAATGTATTTATTTTCTTAAAGAAAATTAGGGTTTTATCCTTAACCAAATAAAATTAATCTTTTATTTATTTCTTTATTTTTACATTAAATATTTTTACATACTTAGGAAATAAACAAAAACTTTTTTGCATAATTCATATTATTTGATATATTTATTTATTTTGTTTATTTAAATATTATCCATTTATTATTTATGCATTTGAATTCAATTTGGATGTAATAGTAAATTAGGGTTTATATTTCTTGTCAAATACACCCCCATTCAAAGATTGTACCCCCATCCCCATAATCATGTTGTAATAACTTAGACTTTTAATTCTCGCACTTTATGCTTTCAATTATACCATGATTAGAGATTAGGGTTTGTATGCAAAAATCAAAATCAACAAGTAGCTTGACCTAATCAAAGACAAAATGCATGAAAATCAAGCATAATACACACTTGCACCCTTAGGGTTACAATCCACTTGTTGCCTTAAAATGGACCATGTTATGCATGTTGGGTACTTTGGCAAAACAAAAGCAAAACAAAATATCATAGTCCCTCGATGATGCTATCTTGGTTGCAGGACAGCTGCATAAGACTGATTGAGAAGTTCAGATGGAGTTGTCTAATGCTAACCCCCCCCCCCTTTTTTTTATGTACCTAGATTGGTGTCGAGACTCAAAAACCTATCCAGATAGATAACTTATGGTCAAACCAATAGAATATGCAGACCATAACATTATAAATTTCAGTTAAGGTTAAGACACCAAAAACTAGAGTATATGATGCAAACTTATTTCTTGGGCTGTGGTGTAGGCATGATTTTGAGTGTAACTATTACATGATGCTAGTTTTCACCCAACGAGTATACTGATATTGGACATTTGGTATGAATGTGATAATTCATAAAAAAAATATCCATGAAGGCAACTGATAATGATATTGGACTTTGACTTTGTGCATGTTTAGATTAAAAGTTCACCAATTTATTCTAATTATTAAAAAAAAGTGTTTCATTTCTTGATCTTGTCTTATCTTATAATTTATGTAGCGGAAGTTTATCTTGCCGGTTGAAGCACGAGATTGGATTGAGACCACTGTTAGAGAGGCATGGAGAAGATATAAGCACAAAATTAAGAAGAATCATTTTTTGAAGTATTCCAACATGACCGAGAGACTCAAAAATCGTCCGCCAAACGTGCCAATAGCCCGGTTTAAGAGTCTTTGTGCTTATTGGAGTAAGGAAACTATACAAGTAAGATTAATAATTTTTTTATGTATGTGTGTGAATTTACACCTTTCTATGTATGCCATAATTAAGTAATATTTATTATAATAATTCTGTCAAATTTAAATGTAGGCAATCAGTGAAAATAACACTAGAAATAGAGCTCAACTAAAGTGGATGCATCGAATGGGTCCCAAAAACTTTGCTTTGACTCGTGAAAAAGTGGTAACTTTCTTTTGTTCTCAATAAATTATTCCTTGTATGAATGTTTCTTTGTTCAATTAAAGTATTCATGAAAAACTTTTCTTTGACTCGTGAATAGGAATTTTAATTCACATAATTTGTTATGGAATTATTTTGATTTGTGCAACGTGAAAAGGAAAAAAGAGAGCCCACTCAATCAGATTGTGCGAGCTTTCATTGATATTTCACAAACATACTTGCCTGGGATAAGATTATGGGACCCCCTTGTTTGATAACACTCACTATGTATGCTGTAAATTTATCCATATGATACTGAACACCAAAGAAGATACAACAAGTAAGAGTGTTCATCAGAGTTCATTTACTCCAAAAAATAAACATAAAAGGATAGCACAAGTTATACATACATACATACATACATACAGTTAAAGGCTATTGTAAGTCCTGAATAGTGAGCCAAAAACAGAATGGTTTTCATAATTGATTTATTTGCTAGTAAGCTCATGTCACCTATTACAGTTTAGAACGAAAATTCACATCCATTAAAAATCTTCATAATTAATTCACATCCATGAGATGTGAAGAATATAAACAATGTGTTTTGCTCATTGGTTTAGTTTTTATTTGTGCGAGGTTTAATTCTTGTTGATGTCTTAATTGTCCTTTGGACCAAAAATACTTATGGTTAATGTGTTTTATTTTATTTTCTTATGCAGCAATGTATCAATGAAGATGTTGAAAAGGACGATATAAATGATGAAATTCAAGAGGACGACATAAATGATAAAATTCAAGAGGACGACCTAAATGATAAAATTCAAGAGGACGACGTAGATGACGAATTTCAAGAGGACGACATAGATCTAGATGATGAATTTCAAGAGGAGGATATAGATGGTGAATTTCAAGAGGACGACGTAGATGAAGAATTTATGGAGGATGACATATCTAACGAATTTCAAGAGGACGGTCTGGATGCTTTACTCCTAGAAGACAAACTTGAATGAGTTGGATGATGTCTTTTTTTTGGCTTGTAGTTGAAAGCATTAAACTTGAAATATGATTTTTGTTCTTTTGCTGAACTATGTTTTTAGTTATTTTACTAGAGTCATACTTCAAAGTATTAAAAGTAATATTGTTACGTTAGGCATTTTGTGTACTCTATATACTATATCTTGAATTAAAGTTTGAACTCGATTTTATTATATTACAACTTTTATGGTTGTATGGTTTAAGTTATATAATCAATATTATTTTTGAAGTCAATTATTATTGACTATATTATTTTGATAATAATTGCAAAATTGTATATTTTATGCGGACACTATAAAACAACAACCTATAAGCTATGGCTACACTTCAAAAACGATCTTTCTGATTCAGGTTTAAGGCAACGATTGTTAATTGTAGCCGAATTTGGCAACACAACGCTTAAAAAACGTTGTCTCAGAGGCCGTAAATAATCGTCCCCTATTCCTTTACTATAGGCGACATTTTTCAAAAGCGTTCCCAAAAAACATTAAAAAACGTCGCCTCAAACAATAGGCAACGCTCGCACAAGAGACTCCTAGAAAACGTCCCCTATTGTTTTAGGCAACGATTTTCAGAGTTCTGGCAACGTTTTTCAATTGTTGCTGGAGAGCCTAAATGTTGTAGTGAGTGCAAGTAATAATCGTATTTCTAAACGGGTTGTTTTATCCTATAGACGTCGTCGAAACCCGACTGCTTTGCATAACTATTGGCAGTACGATGAAACGTCTTAAAGAAAGTGACCTAGTACACGACTCGTCCCGATAATTTTTATTTGTGTCATTTTTTTAAAAACTCGATAATTTTTCTTTGTGGCATTTTTTCAAAACCGGAAACAACAATTTCTAAATTTAATTCTAAACCGGATACATGTTAGTATTACGCAAATATTCAATAGACCTCTTTCTCCTATGTTTTTACTCCGATGACTTACCATATTTGTTAGAATAATAAAGTGTCTGGAATGAATTGTGGAAGCCATCAATCTTTTCTCATTCTTTGATTTCATATCAAAGTGTTTTTACACTTGCCGGTAAGAAAAAAGCTGATACCATGAAGAAAATGAGAATGAGAGAAAAGAAAGAAAAATAATAATGAAGAGTCTTGATGTGTATTATGAAAGTTATCATTCTTTTCTTCTTTTATGATAGCATCTTTCTCCCTTCTTTTTTCCTTTGCTCCATTGTTTAAGTGTCGGATTATGGGGTAGTTATTGCTCCATCAATAGGTACCGATTTTAACGTGGCTTTTTGGTAAATATAGAAATTATTAAAGGGTAATATTGGTAGAAATATAAGGCATACCACACGACTCCATTTCCTTTATCTATAGCCATTAATGATGGCTTTTCTGTTTGGTCCCCGTCTCCTCAAAATTCATTTATTTTTATAAACTTAGGCCTTACTCTCACAAAGTTATGCTATTGGATCCTTCTTCTGAAACTTAAAAATGGCAAAGGAAAATGTCCTTCACATGAAGGGTGGTGTGGGAGAAACAAGCTATGCAACTAACTCCTCACTTCAGGTATTAATCATCTTCTCTTCTACCTCCACCTAATTAATTTAACCTCAAATTCATTCATTTTGTTCAGAGAAAAGTGATAATGGAAGTGAAGACCATACTTGAAGAAAATATAATATTGAGTGTGTCCAACAAAAGT